GGGGGGGGGACACTAGGGGGTATACGTTTTTGAAACCCAGGTTGAAAACCATCAATCAGAATCAAAATTCTTAGAATAATTAAGAAGTTGCATCACAGGAGGAAATCAACTGTTAATGGTAGTAAGTTGCACAGGGTGTCCTTTAGAACTTTAAAAATGACATAATAAACGCTGCATTTTTTAAAAGAATATATTTTGGGATATTTCCTTAATGAAGTCCGTTAGTTTGTTTCTTAAAAATAAGAAAAAAAGAAAATTTTGTCGCCGAAACCAAAACATCATCTAATCATATCTCAGTGTATGTTTTATGAAATATTGAACGCTTTTCATGTGATCAATTAACTGTCTTTTTGATTAGGACACCTTGTAATTAATATTTGAAATGTTAACTGTATATCTACATTATTGTGGGACACTCTCTAATCAATATTGTAAATGTTAACTGTATATCTACATTATTGTGGGACACCCTGTAATTAATATTTGAAATGTTAACTGTATATCTACATTATTGTGGGACACCCTGTAATTAATATTTGAAATGTATATCTACATTATTGTGGTTTAATATGTGCTTAGATTCTTGATATTATAATTAACATAGTAAGCGGATTGTTCACAGAGTTCTGCCTTGTTAGATGAGTATTCAGTATTCATGGCTTAAATATTTATTTTAAAATGAACTTGATAAACCTTTTTTTACGGCAAAAAAGAAGGGGTCGGTTTGATTATTGATATAGCTCAGAGCACAAAAAATACCAGGAATTTCCAAAACTTTGTATAAAAAATTGCCCAGTTTTCGGGGGTTTTACAGAAATAATCAGAAAACTGGGAAAAAGGAAGACGACTTTTAGACTCAAGTTTTGACTTTAAATAGTCCAATGAACACAAGGCACAGCAAATGTGCAACGTAAACAGACCCATTTTACTTAATATGTGATTTAATATCTTACTGGTAAATCTATTTGCTTTGTAACAACATCAAATGCAGTTCAGGATTGCTTTAATGTCGTCTTCCTATTCTACAGTTTTCTGGTTATGCCTGTATATACTAATGCGTTTTCTTAGAGTTTAAACTTATTTTTGAGAAAACTTTCAGTTTGAAAGTGTCTCGTGATTTTTTAGTTTGCTGTAAAATTTTGCATTGTCATCAGATCTTTTTGCATCTTACAATCTGAATACTTAGTACGTAACATCTTGGAAATTTGAAAAAGAAATTATTATATTCTTGAATAAATCTGTTCCTTGCTCTAAACTGATCCTTTATCTTCATTTTCGGGCCTAAAATAGAAAATAATATTATTATTTGTAGTAGTAAAAAGGCTTAGTATAAAGGGCTGTCAAATAAAATAATAATATAATAATAAAATAATGTTAATAATTCAAGAATGGTTGAAAAAAGCTTTATTTACATTTATCGGAAATATTTTCTAGTTGTCTTGAGCAGATTACAAATCCAATAAACATCAACTGGAGAAAGAAACTATAAGTATCTTAAATTTAATTAGGGACATTTTTTCTTTGTATACATTGTAAACAAAAACAAAAGAAGTTCGCTGATTTTATAAAAGAAATTCCTGGATTTCAAAACTTAATGACGATCGAATTTTTTAGGAGGACATTTTTGAAATTTTGATAATCTATTAACCTTCCCTGGGGACATGCGAAGGCCCCACACAAAATTTGGGCCCAATCAGTTTATCCGTTTTGACGTTTATTGGATACAGGCAGACACCCAAATAGACATGCAAAGTAAATATATACTAGACTTTCAAGGAGCTTGGTATCTACCTTCTTATTCAATTGTTATTATTTTCTTGCGGATTTTCAAATGGAAATCAAATTTAGTTGGACGTTTATTTTTGAAATGTTGATAATCCAAAAGCCTTTCTTGGGGTCATGTACATTGTATAAGGTCCCACACAAAATTTGGACTCGATTGGTTCAGCCCTTTTGGCGTTTTTTGGATACAAACTGACAAGCAAAGTATATAAATAGATTTTTATATATATTACAAATTATACGGTTTAGAATATTATTTGTTAAAGTTAAAAAGGAGACAAGTTTCATTAGAATATCATACCAGGACAATTTTGAATAACTTTAATAGAAAAGATTTGATCATTTTACAAACATTATTTCTTTCTACGTTTGAGGTGCTCAACAAGATCCAGCATATTCTTGCATGGTACAGTAGAGCAGGAAACGAGTATATTGTTGCATGGTAGTAGAGCAGGAAACGAGTATATTATTGCATGGTAGTAGAGCAGGAAACGAGTATATTGTTGCATGGTAGTAGAGCAGGAAACGAGTATATTTTTGCATGGTAGTAGAGAAGGAAACGAGTATATTGTTGCATGGTAGTATAGCAGGAAACGAGCATATTGTTGCATGGTAGTAGAGCAGGAAACAAGTATATTGTTGCATGGTAGTAGAGCAGGAAACGAGTACATTGTTGCATGGCAGTAGAGCAGGAAACGAGTAGGTTTTTCAATGAAAGCTAAGAAAGAGTTGAGAAATAGATAAATGATAGAGTTCAGGATTAAGAATACAGAGGATACACAGGATACACAGAACCTACACAAACCATTATCCTAATTCATTTATAGATAAACCAGGACAAAGGGGGGAGCACAGGGAGGTGGGGTTGTCAATTGATCTTAGATTTTCTTTTTCAATTTGTTGGTTATATTGTTATTATTTTTAGAATGCACGAATTAACTTAAAATATAAAAATTAAAATTAAATTAATAATTATCTAATTTTTTTTAATGGTCAACACAAACCAAGCCAATCTATGGGTAACAAAGAACTAAGCCTTTTTGTCACAAAAACCCGTTGCCATCTTATTAAATTTGTTAATTTCTATCGGGTTTGATAAATAAGTAATTACTTAATTTAAGGTTTGAACCCGAAATGCTATTATAAGGAACAATCTAATTATAAAAAATATTCATAAAATTACAAAAATTTACAAGAAACCCGTTTTTTTCTGACAAAACCTTAGGAGTTTTAACATTTTGACAAAAATATTGATTATTCCGGTCCTCTACATATACTTGAACAGTTCCTTAGGAGTTTTAGCATTTTGACAAAAATATTGATTATTCCGGTCCTCTACATATACTTGAACAGTTCCTTAGGAGTTTTAGCATTTTGACAAAAATATTGATTATTCCGGTCTCTACATATACTTGAACAGTTCCTTAGGAGGGGGTCCAAAAATCGTTCTCTAGGACAGACCCTTCATTTGTTGTAAAAATCATTTTTAAGTTAGGAAAGCAGAAAAGAATTTGTCTAGAGAGGGGGTTTACATTTTAAACTTTCCATATGGGTGGATCACCTTTTATAGCCCTCCCCCTCTCTCTAAATAAATTGGCATGGTTTTTCTTTCCTTTTTCAAAAACAGCCGAATATGATGGAAGATGTACGAATAAGAAGAAAATTTAGATCAAGAAAAATAGAAATGTCAAAATTTATGCAGCTGCTTTCATCTAACTATTTTTAGAATGTTGTCACGATTAAGATTTTAAAATAAACATGTTTAAAAAGATAATGTCATTTTATAAATACCTTGATACTAGGGATAAATGGTAAAGTCTCCTGGTAGGTTAAATACTCTTCAAGGTTCCCCTGTCTCTCCAGGTTACCAGCATGAACTAGATCAGGGATAAGGTTTAACCACAGGGCAACCCGTCTAGACATAACAGTATTTATTTAATTCAATTCTTAAAACTATAGCCTCCACCCCTCCCCACCCATTTGTAGATTTAACCCCGCTATGTGGTCTAGTTTAACCAAATGTGGTCTAGTTTAACTAAATGTGGTCTAGTTTAACTAAATGTGGTCTAGTTTAACTAAATGTGGTCTAGTTTAACCAAATGTGGTCTAGTTTAACTAAATGTGGTCTAGTTTAACCAAATGTGGTCTAGTTTAACTAAATGTGGTCTAGTTTAACTAAATATGGTCTAGTTTAACTAAATGTGGTCTAGTTTAACAAAGGATGAGAGTTTATTTGAAGAAAGGATGAAAGTATAAAGAAAGGATGAAAGTATAAATAAAGGATGAAAGGTTAAATGTACCTTGAACCCATTCGGTCCTCTACATATACTTGAACAGTTCCTTAGGAGTTTTAGCATTTTGACAAAAATATTGATTATTCCGGTCCTCTACATATACTTGAACAGTTAGATTTTTTTGTCTTAAATCGATTGTGGTAAAGAGGTAACAACTTTTTCTTGAAATAAAATTATCCAGTATTATTAAAAAATGAAAAATATATAGAAATGTGAAATTAATTTCTTTTAGCTTTTCAGAGTTTCCAAATGTGTCTGATACCAATTTTGTCAGGTTAAAAGGATACAAAAATACAATGACAATTAAACAGCTGTGTAATATATCTTTATATTTGTATAGAAAACCTATTATATTTCCGGCAGCTCCAACAGAACCAGGAACCATTAACAATAATAAAGATAAATAATCTGCGGATGAACCCACGCAGATGTTTTCTGGATTACTTATTTTATTTCTTCCATGTGGAAAAATATCGTTCATATATTTGAATAATTGAATAATGAGTTAAATACATTTTTTTAGCTTTTTTAAAGGGACTGTAAGCGTATCTTCAAGTGCTCCTCCATGCAAAGATGGCAATTCCCGATTTACAGTGGTACCCTTGAAGCCTTGATCTAATAAGCTGTGTGATAGGTACTGTTTTTTTCTGTGATTTTCCTCTTTTGATTCTTACAAGCAAAGAGTGTGCAAGTCATTTTCGCACAGAAACTGCAAATGAAAAAAAAACAGTTTAAAGAAATTAAAACTTTGATATATAATTTATATTTGATTAGATACGGCTCTTAAGGGTATCGTTTGAATTGGTCATTGTAATTTTTGTATGAAGGGTCTCTTGAAATTATGCTCACAGTCCCTTTTACACTGCGAGTATAGTAGTCAATTTTGTTCTTTTGCACATTTTTAAAAATCTTGATTATGTGTTTTGATTTCAACTTTTAACATTAAATCCTTTTTTGACCCATTATATTTGTTCTACTGTTACATTAAGATTGAAGAATAACAGAACAAAATTCAAGTGTTCAAGTCAATGTTCGGTCACGTTGAAATGGTCCAAATTGGTCAAAAGATAAGCAGAAAAATACGCTTATTTGATCAAACTCTTTTCTTTCTAGGTAGATTTTTGGAAAAATAAGTTTTTTTCTGCTTTGAACTGAATGTATTTCACTCGACTACAATATAAAGAAAAAAACCACTTTGTGATCACGAATTTTTCCAGGTTTTAGTTAAGCCCAAAATTTGCAAATTTTCAAAAGCTGTTCAGAAATTTAACGAGAAACAATTAAATTTTTTACCTTTTAACTTGAAACTATAAATTATAAGTGCTTAACCTTAGCCCAGCGCACATTTTTGTTGCTGGCGGCCTGCCTGACATTTTAGATTAAAAAATCTCCGAAATATTACCGATATGAAGATATTTTTTATAGGTTGGATCGTAGGGAGACCAGTCAACCATCCCCGAGGATCTACCCCGGCCCTCTCTATCCGCAATATGAGGGAAGTTCGGGTTCCTTAATACAAATTAATGGTAGAGTTAAGTGGCAATATAATAGTTATATAATACCATGTAATGAACCCATTATGTGTTTGTGTCAAACTTAATTTTTACAAGAAGTTCAGTTCTTCTATTAAACTGAATTAAGCTTGTAAATATTAGAAGTTCTTGAATAAATCTCTGTATCCAACCCTTCCCCCCCCCAAAAAAAAAATTAAACGTTGAAACAAAAAAAAATCATATTTGTTGTATGTGTAACACAAATATGGAATTCATTGTTACTAGAAATAAAACTCTCGTTCTAAATTGCACGTGGAAAAAACAAATATCTTTCAGCGATTTGAATGTTTAAGATCAACGTGTTATTCATGTATTTCTGAAAAAATAAATGTGCTATCCTAAGTTCTTACCAATTAATTTTGATTGACCTACAACCCCCCTCCCTTTCTCTCTCACCCTCATACTTTCTCCTTATCTATTAGACGAGGCACCTCCAATTGTATGATTTAAAAATCATGTCATACAATAACATCCGGGTTTTCCATTAAAGACGCGGCCAATGTTGGCTTGACAAATCCCGTCATTAAAGTGTAATTGTTTAAAGTGTATACTGTATACCCATATAAAATTATGTGCTTTAATGATACTTTCTATTTATCTAGTACTGTCACGTACCCCCAAAAGTATCAGTGTCCCATATATGAGTATCAGTATCCACTATTGCATCGGTATCCAAATAAGGATATGTTTTTCTATCCTCCCAACCTTTTCAATTTACTTTACATCACAAAGGAGTTGAGTTCTTGTCACTACTTCATATTTTGTAATCGTTGCAACCCGATGTATTAGATCTTTAAAATTTAAAATATCAAAAAAAGGTTGCAAAGATATAGGCTTAAAGATTCTTGTTTGATGCAAGAACTCAGATCCTTAAGAAGAATCAAATGTACATTGTACTGCAAACAGACGTATGTATATCTTTCTTTCAAAATATTCATTACAGTAATTGAGATAAAAATACCTAATTTTCTGTTCTTGTGGGTGCAATTACAAGAAAACAAAATAATCAATGTGTTTTTCATAAACTATTTCTAGCATGAGGTGTTATTTAATCAAACAGTTTTAAAACATGGATTGAGAACACAACCCTAAAATGTATAAACCTACTCTGAAATGTATTCTATGTACTGTAAAAACAAACTCTGAAATGTACTCTATGTACTCTATGAACTGATCATGAAATGTACTCTATGCACTGAATGAACTGACCCTGAAACGTATTCTATATACTGCATAAAATAACACTGAAATGCACACTATGCAATGCATGAACTAACCCTATGGTCTCTTTAGTACTGTGTAAAACACGAAATGTACTCTATGTACTGTTAAACTAACCCTGAAATGTACTGTATGCACTGTATGAACTGACCCTGAAATGTAATTTATGTACTGTATGACCTGACCCTGAAATTTACTGTATGCACTGTATGAACTGACCCTGAAATGTAATTATGTACTGTATGAACTGACCCTGAAATGTAATTTATGTACTGTATGACCTGACCCTGAAATTTACTGTATGCACTGTATGAACTGACCCTGAAATGTAATTATGCACTGTATGAACTGACCCTGAAATGTAATTTATGTACTGTATGAACTGACCCTGAAATGTACTCTATGTACTGTATGAACTGTCCCTGAAATGTACTCTATGTACTGTATGAACTGACCCTGAAATGATAAAGTTTGTCCAGTATGTCATGACAAGCTCCGCCAGGTTCTGCTCTGCCCTGGTGTAGTTGTTGTAGTAGGATCCAAGCAGGGGGTAACCAAGAACATAGGCTAGCTCCTCACCATGTACACAACCACCTCTCTATAAACAAAAACATTTTAAGATAAAATAATTTTATGGACGCTACGCTCTTAAGTTTCAGACGTTTTAAACCATTTATCCTCTACGCAACATATAAAAGTAAAATTAGTAGCGATCGATATCGAATTCAATTCGATATCAGCCAATAACCCTTTTAATTTTTCGCGAAATTTCCCTTAAAAGGGACGGTCAACATAATTCAAATTCCATATTCCGTTTAAACAGATTCACAACCTTACCCTTTAAACCTTTACCTGATCAATAAAGTTGACGATATCTTTGAACTTTTAGCTTAATTTGAATTCTAACAAATTTCACTAAGGTGACGTCTACAGTTCTTGGAAAGGAATTGTTCTCCTAGGGAATTGAGTTTTTACCACAAACTCAAATTTATAAATCCGTTTATCTTTGCAATGGTGTAAACCTTTGATATTTCAAACTTAGATTATTTAAAATTCAAGTTTAAAATATCCAAGGTCTACAAGATTCGGTTGCAAAGGATAAACAACCAAAGTTTGTGACAATGACTCAATTCCTATGATAGAAACAGAAAGAGACATTTTTTGCGACAATCCCAAAATTACATAAAACCCCGTTCCATTTTATCCATCTTTCCATCAATTATTATCATGACAATATGTAAATGTGATGAGGAAGGTTTATATCTCTAGTAATGCTGAAGAACCACTTGTGCCCAAATATACTCCGGGTTCTAGGAAAAACCTGGAGAAAAATGTTGCTAAGGAACTTAATATCCTGACAGATGGGACGGATTGTGTCGGATGATCCTTTAGTATCCTATAGTATGGTTGAGACAGGGAGAAAACTTTCTTATCCTAGGAAACTTATTGTTCCGTTTAGACAGATCTTTTATTTTCTCAATCTCGAGATTTATGAAGGAGATTTATGTACAATTTGTATACTGTACATAAACAAATACATAGATACATGCGTAGGTCTATAATATATATTTCTGGTAAACTAAGATCGTTTTATGGATGATAAGATTGATATATGTCTATTTATGGTTGATAAGATTGATATATGTCTATTTATGGATGATAAGATTGATATATGTCTATTTATGGATGATAAGATTGATATATGTCTATTTATGGATGATAAGATTGATATATGTCTATTTATGGATGATCAAATTGATATATGTCTATTTATGGATGATAAAATTGATATATGTCTATTTATGGATGATATTATCGATATATGTCTATTTATGGATGAAATGATGTCTATTTATGGATGATAAGATTGATATATGTCTATTTATGAATGATAAGATTGATAAATGTCTATTTATGGATGATAAGATTGATATATTTCTATTTATGGATGATAAGATTGATGTATGTCTATTTATGAATGATAAGATTGATATATGTCTATTTATAGATGATAAGATTGATATATATCTATTTATGGATGATAAAATTGATATATGTCTATTTATGGATGATGATATCGATATATGTCTATTTATAGATGAAATTATGTCTATTTATGGATGAAATGATTGATATATGTCTATTTCCAAAAAATAAAATAAAAACGCTTTTCCATTTGTTTAGTTCTCTGCAGAAAAGTTATCAAGCAAGCTAAACAGTGCACAAGGAACACATTTATCAGTATTGAACTATTTTGTTTAAAAGTTATAAGGTCCATCACGACAGCATATAGTATAGAGGTATGGTTTAATCCCTACAGATTGTGGCGAAGAATCGATAACTTATAATAAAGATGAATATTGCAGTACACGCTATCATGTGTCACAGTATATAAGGGTGTTTTGAACTAAAGAAACAATAAAGTTGAATTGTGTAGCTTGTTAGTAAGAAATCTCTTTTAACTAAACTTACATCTAACTTTATATACAGGGTGACCCACGAAACATACCGAAAACTTACATCTAAATTTTTATACAGGGTGACCCACGATGCATAACGAAAACTTATATCTAACTTTGTATACAGGGTGACCCACGGAACATATCGAAAACTTACATCTAACTTTATATACAGGGTGACCCACAAAACATAACGAGACCTTATATCAAACTTTGTATACAGGGTGACCCACGAAACATGAGAGTTGAGAGACAACTAGGTGTAAGATTTGAGCCTTAAAAATAATTCTTTAAAAAATAGGCTTATAGGCCGCTTCGCGCCCACATCTTCTATTTTAATTGTGAACATGTTCTCTTTGTGTACATTCTAAAACAAAAACAAAACAAAATTTTGCGGATTTTATAAAAAAAATTGCGGATTTTCAAAATTTTCAAAAATAGAATTTTAATTTTTTTAAAATTCGATCATCTATAAACCTTTCCTGGGGTCACGCGAGGTCCGACACAAATTTTGACGCAAACAGTTCAGCTGTTTTGACGTTTATTGGATACAAACGGACAGACAGACAGAAAAGTAAAGCATATATATATAGAAATGCCAGGATCCGGGGAGATTTTTAAACACAAATTATACTGTTTTGGCGGATAGCAATAAGACGAGGATTTAGATAAACGACTAACTATATTTTTAATATAAAGTTACAAAGTAGAAAATAAATATATATGACGTGGCTTCTAGAAAACTCCCCTATTCTTCTCCCTGCCGCGAAAGGTTCTTCCTAGGAAAGACGACTTTCATAGCCGCCACAGTAGTCCCCCCAGAAGGAACGGCGGAGGTACGGCGGAGCAGATCCTTCTATCTCTGGAAGCTCTGTGAGGGTTCCGACGAACAGGAATAGATNAAACGTATTCACTAGTCCGGGGTCACCAATTTGGCGGATAGCAATAAGACGAGGATTTAGATAAACGACTAACTATATTTTTAATATAAAGTTACAAAGTAGAAAATAAATATATATGACTGTGGCGGCTATGAAAGTCGTCTTTCCTAGGAAGAACCTTTCGCGGCAGGGAGAAGAATAGGGGAGTTTTCTAGAAAAGACGACTTTCATAGCCGCCACACTGTTATAATAAAAAACTAATTAATATTTATCTTCTGAATTGGGGTACTACGTTTAATTTCAAGAAGGTGACAGAATATACTAGATTGCATCAAATTTGAAGCCAAGTAACGAAGGTATAAGAAAAGATACTGTAGAAATGAACTTCAAGTTACTTTCACAGAGAAACCACAATTTATAATAATCAATTTTCACAAAATAATTAGGATATCTCATGTTTCTTCCTCATACAAAGCTTTAAAGGGCATTGTTGTGAATCTCCATTTTACTTTAAAAATGGATGTGTAGGTCGTGAAATATATTGAGAATATCCCAGTAAAGTGCCAAATATGATATGATGTCCATCAAATCCTGCTCCTTTACTCATCTCTATATTACCATATTCATAAAGGACACTTCTCCCTCAACCAGGAAGAGGGGGGGGGGTGAGGGGGAGTTTTCTATAATAAGGAATCGGGTCTTTGTCACAAACTCAATTTTCTAATACCTTTATCTTTTCAACCTAATGGTGTACATAAACCTTTAATATTTTAAACTAAGATTATTTGATCCAACAGATTTCTATATCTAAGGAATACTAAACTTGGTGACTAAGATATCTGTTTTCAAAACTAGGTATTACTTGACATTTTGAAGTCTCAAAACACTTGGCTTTTGATTTTAGCTTTCTAACTAAGTTATACTTTTTGTTGCCCTATCAATATATAAATTTAGATTGTCTGTCTGTTTGTTTGTATCCAATAAACGTCAAAACGGCTGAACCGATCAGGCCCAAATTTTGTGTGGGACCTTATGTGGCCCCAGGGAAGGTTTACGAATGAAATTTGAAATATTTGTCTCCATCAAAGTTCGATTTTCATTAAACTTTTGAGGTTTTAAAAATCCACGAAATTTTTTGTTAAAATCCGCGAACTTTTTTTTGTTTTGTTTTACGATGTACACAAAGAGAACATGCTAAAATAAAAGGCTAGTATGTGTAAATTCTAAATCAATATGGCACTTGTTATTAATCTTCTGTTGAAAAGTAATTACCAAAATGCTGTTAGATTTTATATACCGTGCACATTTTGGGTTTCTGTGATAAAGGGATTAGAAAATGTGAGTTTTGGGCCCAGATTCATACTCTTTATTTACATTAATGTTTGTATATCAAATATGGGATTGAAAACAATACTACACTATGGACAATTTTTAACTCTATACATATGCGAATACATCGACAATTATTAAAGTTGGTTATGACCTCATAAACAAACTTTTATCTATACCTATCATTTTGTTCTTGGGTCAAAAAGTTCTAATGTCATATTTGATTCTATCAAAAAAAAATTGATTCTATTAAAGTTTTATGATATTCTATCGAAGTCTTATATGATGCTATCAATAATTTATGAGATTCTATCAAATTATGATATTCTTTTGAAGTTTTATGCGATTCTTTTAAAGTTTTTTTATGAGTTTATATAAAATCTAAATTATATCAGTACAGGTCTTGGTCATTCATAACAATATCACAAATATAAAAATCTTCTTTGCAGTGTGCACTATTCTACAATTTAAAAGGGATCAAACTCTGGAAAAGTAGAAACCCCTAAATTTGTTATTTTTTCGTATATTTTTACTGATCCAATATCCTAGAGCTAAAATGATAATTTCTTTTTATTATTTATGTAATATACTAGGTACATATATCTTTGGTAATTAGTGAGACAAATCTATAGGTTATTAGTCAGCACAGTCAGCTAAACTTATTATTAGTTTCCACCAAAAAAAGTTGTTCAAAAGATACATTTTTTTTGCTTCTTGCCCATTTACAATTTTAAAAACAAGAAAACAATTTCGGGGATTTGTCGATTGTTTTCGTGGATTACAAAAATTCCAATTTGTAAACTTGCAGGAGTTTTAGTTTTGGGTAGGTGAAAGTAACGATTGTTCTGCTTTTTGTCTTTGTTCTTCATTAAGAAACAAAGAGGTTTAAGTTGTTAAAGTTGAACCAAAATTATTCATGTCGCGGAGTTTTCTTACAATTTAAAGTTTAGACAATCAAGCATCTCAACTTTTCTCATAAGAAGGTTTGTGTATTGTTTTGAGAAAGAAACCAACCTGTGAGAAATCTCCATATTTGGTTTGGTAATCGAAGACGTAGAACCATGAATTCTTGTTTAGTGACGCGTGGTAATCAGCTGATTCCACACCTGGGGACACGTACAGACCATCTGTCAATGCTTCCACACTTTCGTCCCTAGAGAAAATAACTTTATTAAATTCATAAAATATGAGTTACGTCGGAAATGATAAAAAGTAATTGTTCTCCAATTAAAAAATACAAAGAAGAAACAGATCGTAATTCCTAACACCTACCGTACCAAGGACTAGAATTTTATAAGATTTAAATGGTGGATTTCAGGAAAATCGTTTGTAGGGTTAAAGGGACATAGGCGTTATTCAAAATGACGCTCCAAGTGTAGAGTGTCATGTCCGAAGTCACAACAGTACCCATCAAACATTTGACTCATCCAGGATAACGGACTTATTCTAATTAATCTATAGAAACCCTAGTAATTGTTGGCAAGATGCTTTATTTATTGGAAATGCACACATGGTCGGTTAAAATGTTTCCTGGGACACACACGGAGTTCTCTGCCCTTGTTAATCAATCAATGTATAAAGAGGTACCGTTGTAAATCGGGCATGGAGGGTTACTTATAGTTGTGCTTCCAGTCCCTTTAGGATTTGTTTCTTATTCTAAAAATTTTGGTTTAAAAGCATGTTTTTTTTACAAAAGGTAAACTGTCCCTAGCCTCATGATTTTTTCCATTCCACCATGCATGATGCACGTTGACGTAGTGGATAATAAAGAATTGTCAAATATAAAAGTTTTACTAACTTTTTGCTTCAAGTGCATTGTAGATTTGTGAAAAGATAAGATATATAAAAATAATAATCAAATAATTTCTTTTCTAACTATTGTTTTTCTTCATCTTTTTACTTTTTTATTTTTGTAATGTTCTTTTTTACCTGGTTGATATTGGTTGTCTGGCTGTACTTGACCAATTTGTATACTCTAAATCATTACCAACATGTCACATAACATATTTTCTAATCATATATCTATCTATCTAATCTATTTATATTATTATATATGTATGGTTGGTTATATTAAATCCGGCACTAAAACTTTGCATAACCAACCAAAAACGCAAAACAAAAATCTCATTTTTATGAAATAGTCCAATTTTGTGTGGAAAGGAGGATTTAATGTATGGTGAAAAAAAGTTAAAGCGTGGCTGATGAAATACTACTTTGATCCAATTCTTCGTTATTCGAAGATAAATTGACAGATACAAGTTGTATAATCTAAATCAATTATATTTCTGAAAAACAATGCAATGCACTCAAAACTTTCCCCTAAACTCATTCACTTTTGCAAAGCAAACTTTTTACTTGTGCATTATCATTTTCTTATTTTCATACAATTGCATTTTTTGTCTTTCAATTGTGTGTTTTTAAAAGACTTGGCTTTTAGGGCGCTTCGCGCCCATCTTCTATTTCAACTTTTTATTGTGGCTTAATCTGTGAGCATCTTCTCTTTGTAAAGTATAAAACAAAAACAAACATAAAAGTATGCGGATTTTGCTTCGAAAACATTTAAAAACATTTTTGTAAGAAAATGGAGCCCTGCCAAGTAAGAACAAAAAATAGTAGAAAGACAAATAGACTCATATTTTATAGTTAAATTCTAACAAAGGCCATTTTCGATTTGAAAGTCATCATATTTAGAAATAAAACAATCGCAGATTTTTCTCCTTTTCAATAAATTTTCTAACTACTCGAATATTGAAAATATCTAGAAAGCAAGAAAAATGTTTAGCAGAAAAAAAACCTTTGTGGCATAATATCAGGTTCAAAGAGAAAATTAAATCCATCCGTATTTTTTGCCAAATGACCAATTTCAGTTTAGTATTTATGGTATTCAGCCAAAATAAATATTTGCACAATTTCCTGGCCTTCAAACTACGAATTAAAAAGGATTGGGAAGCGTAAAATTAATTAAGTCCCAAAAAAACCAACATTATTTTGTAATTTTTACAGTGTTAAAGGGACTGTAATTTTGTGCAAAGATTTGCAACAGTATTCTTGAAACCTTAATCTGATCAAAAATGTGGAAGATAACGTCGTTTTTTTCATGACTAATTCATAACTGATTATTCTAAGGATACTGTTGTAAATCGGTCATATTTGCATGAAGGGGAACTTGAAATTATGTTTTCATTCCCTTTGAAGTTCCGACCGGGAAGTCCCCTGAAGTATGTTTGTAATGTTCCTGTGAGTATTGCTGAGAATATCTCCTTCTCATGTATCTTATAGCTGGAGGTGACGAGGTCGGAGAGCATCCTGTTCCTCCCCTCTGTCTCCAGGCCCAGTTCCATCTCCTCGTGGTTTAAAAAGATAAATCCTTCACCAGAGGTTACTCCGATCATCATATCATACCTGATACATTAACACATTCATGGTCGTCCATACTGCTAATTATTTACAGAGTGTCCCAATAAATACGGGAGTTACGAAAGACGACTTAAAAGTCTAATTGATTTTTGATAATTACCCCCATCATCGATCGTACCTTTCGAAATCTGAACATTTTGACCTAGATTATGAACATTTCGTTTGAAATTTTGACCGAGATTATGAACATTCTGTTCGAAATTATGAACATTTTGTTCAAAAATATGAACATAATTTCGAAAGTACGAACTTTTTGTTCGAAATTATGAACATTTTGTTCGAAATTGCAAACATTTTGAACATAACTTTTAAATGTGCAAAAACAAACCAAAGATCGATATAAATATATTTTAAGGAAAGTTTTTTAATAATTCAAAATTTCTTCTGCAAATCCTTAATTTTAAAAATGAATAAAATCCCTTGCATTTAAATACATCAAAATATTTTGATAAATACTTGAAATGATAGAATTTTTGAAAAGATTTTAATCCCCTCAACTTGGATAGAATACACGAGCCTGCTGGGTTGGCAGTTCTAAAAACCATCATATTTGTTATACCATAAATAGTTAAACCAACCACACACTGCATACAGGCTTTACAGGGGGATCTAAAAACTAACTAGGTCACCCGGTATGATTCAGTCAAGTAAGAAAGTTTTGCTACATTTCATCCCACTTATCCTTCTCATCCTTCTCATCCTCCTCATCCTTCTCATCCTTCTTATCCTTCTCATCCTTCTCATCCTTCTCATCCTTCTCATCTTTCTCATCCTTCTCATCCTTCTCATCCTTCTCATCCTTCTCATCCTTCTTATCCTTCTCATCCTTCTCATCCTTCTCATCCCACTCATCCTTCTCATCCTCCTCATCCTACTCATCCTTCTCATCCTTCTAATCCTTCTCATCCTTCTCATCCATCTCATCCTTCTCATCCTTCTCATCCTTCTCATCCTTCTCATCCTCCCATACTCAACCTTTAAACCTCTCGAAAACTTTTTAAACGCTCTTATTACAGTTTGGGGAGAAAAGTTTGTAAAACTATTAAAACAAATCTTATTCATAAAAGAATATTATGAATGAAAACAAGTAGGAAGAGAAAGTACATAGCTGTTTTTAAGAGAAAAAACTAAGTTTTAAAATCTAACGTTCTAATCTTTTTATCTGTGCAGCCTGGTGGTGTAAATCGTTTAAATTGTAAAATATGGCTTCATAGTTTGAAATGGCTTCATAGTTTTAAAATTGAAAAACCTACCACTTTAGAAATTGCAAAGTTAGAGGTTGTAAGCGTTTCAAGGCTTGTATCTTGGTAACTTTAAAAAACCTTCTATTTTATAAGGTGGCATGCCTGATTCACAACAGTAATCATTAAACATTTGCCATAAAGTGAATGAATGAATTATCCTAGTGTTTCAAGCTGAAAATTGATCATTTCTGATTGTGTCACAACGACGACGTTTTCCTCACTAATACTAAGGTTAAAATGGCACTGTTGTGAATGGGACATGGCACTTTAAAGTCCCTTTAAGGTTGATTACCTTGCCATCCGTTCTAGGTATTCACCAACTTTATTCTTAAAGGAGTGGACAACGATTCCGTCGTAGGAGGGACCATAGTCGGTCAGAAACCGGTTCCTAAAATATTAACAAATTATTACAAGAAGCTAATACGAACACATTAATCGAAATTATGAACATTCTCTTCGAAATTATGAATATTCTATTCGAAATTATGAACATTCTATTCGAAATTTTGAAAATTCTATTCGACATTATGAAAATTCTATTCGAGATTATGAAAATTCAATTCAAAATTATAAAAAAGATTAAAGGTAAACCTCAATATCCCTAAAATTATTTTTTTTGTAATTATTGATTTTGATCCCAGGAACAAAATTTGTTCTTCAAATTATTTCTTCATTACAATTTTTACCAGAAACTGAAGAAATTTGCAATGATATTTGAGAAAATGTCATCAAGTTTAGTGCACAATTGTATACAACCGACCAGACTGACCAGACTGCTAAGAAAAGTTGCATCAATTTTCAAGACTGGATCGACCTTAAAGTGTCAAGTGCCATAACTAACTCACAAATACTTTTTTGTAGCCCTAAATATTTGCATTTTAGAACTTCAAATAATTAAACAAATTCTCATCGATTGAGCTTGCAACCTTTGGATCACGATGAACCCCAGTCATGTAACTATTGGTCGAAAATTAATAAATGCAGTTTGAACAGACCTATGTAAATTACGTTGTACATTGTCTGGAGGATCTAACTGCGTTAATCCTTAGCTACGTATTGTGATTAGCTTAATGCGATGATATATAGACCTGCGTAATATTGTGAATAATACGGTACTTAACCTGTAACATAGAGATATTTGTTATAAGATTAGTTAGAATCAGAACTCCGCTTTGATTAGAGTGTAGAGCACCCTTGTATGGGTTGAGATCATACCTCAGTATATGGTAGAGATTGAATAAGGCTTGTTTGATAACCACTACTTGTGTCCCTGTGTGACATTTAGAGCCTGAGTAATAGCTTGTTAGATAGCTACGCTTGTGTCCGTGTGTGGTATTTAGAGCCCGACTTATTGCTTATTTGATAGCTACCGAGACCGCGCCCAGTGGTAGTGGCTTTGATAGTTTACGGGATTGTACCGGCCCTGGTGGATTGTGTCCTGGTTAACTTTGATAGCGGAAGGAATGTACCTAGACTGACACAGTTTGTGGCGAAGTTTTTAGAATACGGCATTTACTACAAATATACTATGTATTAAGTTAAGAATATAGTTTTAAATGAAAGCCATTTCGATGTTTACCATAGCTTAGCGACCCCTCCCCTATCGCCCCCCCCCCCAAGCCCTCATAGCAATCATCATTAAATCTCTTTATTGTTGAAGAAAAGAGTTGCGGGTTATATGAGGAAGAAAGAAAAGAAAATATCTAAAAACTTAAAGCTTAGAAAAGTTTAAAGTACAGAAAAGAAAATATCTATAAGTTTAAAGTATAGAAAAGGTTAAAGTACAGAAAAATTTAAAGTACAGAAAAGAAAATATCTAAAAGTTTAAAGTACAGAAAAGGTTAAAGTACAGAACAGTTTGAAGTACAGAAAAGTTTAAAGTACAGAAAAGTTTAAAGACAGAAAAGTTTAAAGACAGTAAAGTTTAAAGTACAGAAAAGTTTTAAGACAGAAAAGTTTACTTTACATCTACACAATATCTTGCTGTCAGGATTTGTGAAAAAACAGATTACTCATTTACTGAATATCTTACAAAAAAGAAAATGTATTGTTAATTACATTTAATTTAAGCATGTGTATCCAAAAAATGTTTTTAACTAAAATTTGTAAACGTACTTTCTAAACAAGATGTGATAATTTTAAAGAGTAAATATCAACAATCAATATGAAATATGTTGGGCCGGGAAGTTTATGTAATTGTGCATGCATTATTTGCATCATTGTTTTTTTTCAATAATAATGTTTAAAAATTATGATTTTTAAAGTTGTCAACTTTTGCTAAAAGGTATTGTTCTTGAGAGAGTGTGACCCTTCAAGCCAAGATGGCACTGTCCGATTCACAAGAGTACTCTTAATTAAGACCTTTATCTGTTCAATAATATGAAAGATATTGGCATTTTTCAAGATTCAAAAGTTAAATTATTTATTGTTTTTGTAGAGATACAGAAGTTAAAGAATATTTGTTTTTAAAATTAAATGATTTATAATTTCTACCTGATCAGAGAATTAAATTTTTTATAAGGCTACCGTTGTAAATCGGGTATTGCCATCTTATTTATTGTTTTGCAAACTACTTTTGTAGAGACTGCACAACATCTAAATCTAAACATCTAATTTGCTTTTATGGGTACCGTTGTGAATTAGGTATTGCCATCTTTGCATGGAGGGTCACTTGAAATTTCGCTTTTTAAAAGTAAAAGTTTGCTTTTTTAAGCCATAACTTAAAAAAAAAGTTTGTAATTTGGGAATGCTTTTAGCAGTTCAATTTTACGAATAAAAGAAACTAGGTTTAGGTTTTGTTTTCCTTACAGTTGTCAGTATGTAAATTGTTAAATAGTTTTTAAAAACAAGAAGAAAGATGAAAGAAATGAAGGAATTTAATTTAGAATTTTTGTCAAGGATTTTATTTACTATCCAAATGTTTACAGAGCTTAAATAAGAGAAGAAAATGTTTGTTTATTTAAGATGCACTTTTATATGTTTGAGGAAATGCAAGTTTACGAGGCGGGAAATCAGGAAAAATCTTTAATAAAAATCTTATAAAAATCTTATTGCCTGGTTCCGGAGGTTGTAGATTTTGCAAGAAGAGTAGAGAGAGATATTTTCCTGTATACATATATTTATATATATAAATATTTAGGAAATATCAAATAAATGTTTTAATATAAAGATTTAAGTATTAACATTAAAGGGAGTGTTCTCATATTTTGTGAATGAATATGATACCAAATCATTTTTAATTAGAAAAACATCCAAGCCAGTACTTTCTGTTTGAACAAATGTGGTTCGGCAGAAAAATCCGTTTTTTGTAAAGGAATTGAGTCTTGCCACACATCTTTGAAACCAGATGTCTTATACATTAGATATTAGATAAAAAGATCTAATTGTTAGATATCGAAGGTTTACGCCATTAGGTTGCACAGAAATAGATAGAAAGATGCTTTCCGTCAAAACACGTAATAAACACACATATAGTGCAACACGGTGTACATAGTCTACATAGTGTACAAAGGTTCGATAATTCTACCAATCAAAAACATCTGAACTGGCAATATTGGCATATTTTTGTGTTTTTAATATAAAAGAAATTTGGGCATCATATTTTCAAATCAATCCCTTTCAAATTAAGAATTTAAGGAAAATGTTAGAAATATACATGAAATATTTTAACACATATTTAATAGAGACAATCAAAACATATTTTTATAGAAAACATCTGTTTTAAACTGAAAACCATGTTAAAGAGATGATTACAAAAATGGGTTGCAAAGATATAGAGATTGGAAAATCAGAGTTTGTGGCAAAGACTCAATTCCTTTATTGACTAGTCAGGAGTAGTCGTAGTTCTTCTCTATTGGGGCCATAGACTAAACTAAAGTAGTAATTGAACTTACTTTGTAATTTTTGTTAAATCCGACCTCTGATCATTTAGAAAAATTGTATTTTACGATTTTTGTTTAAACTAGGTTGGGAACCTAGCGTGGCCCTGGAGAGTCACGCAAATCTGCCCCTTTAGTAAAAGTAAATTCAACCTTTATGAAGCCTAAAGTCTGACCGCGTCAACCTTGTTGTACCGGCTAGTCCTGTCCATAGAGCTAGGTACAGTACAAACTGGGACCGGAAAGGTTGACCCGGCTCGGAAATTCAAATGCATTACGGCTGCCCGTGGAGTAATAGTTAGTCTAACCGTTTACCCGACCCTTGTCGTAAATCAGGATTTTAGCTAATTAGAATTTCAAAACCAAGCTAAGAACATTTCCGTGGCTCTCCCGAGTTTCCCAATCAAAATTTGAGGCAAAACGGTCAAGGGGTTCCACAGTTATGATCGGAGAAACCAACAAACAAACAACTTTATATATAGATATATTCCTGAGGCACTCTACAACAAGGTGAGGGGGGGAGGAGGGACAGGAGAGGGAGAGGGCGAGGGCCCTGCTGGTATTGGTGGGGGAGGAGGCTCGAGCCCAGGGAGCTAGAGCTGATCCTGACATCAAGATTACACGTCGGAACAACATACCTGAACAAATAGTTTATAATTTCAAAATTATAAAAATAAAAATAAATCAACTAGAGCTGAAAACTTTAGAATGAAATATCCTTAATCCCAATTACTTTATCTGAGTATCCAATGGACACACTTTTGATTTTCTTCTTAAACCGTTCTTTCTTGGACATAGTAGAGAAAAATTAAAAACCGGTATTTCTAAATTAGAGAGTTTCTCCCGTTTCTGTATATAATCTTAAATGGCGCGCAAAATTTTTAATTTATCGGCTTCATATATGCGACTCTGATTGGTTGAATTTTATACAGTTTTCAGGATAAGTACAAGATTAGGTTAGTCTCAATATTAAGAAAACGAGAGGATCAAGCATAATCTCAATATCCACCATTCTAAAGTTTTTAGCTCAGTTAACTACAATTTGAAAATATTAAATCAAAAAACAAAATCCTTCAGGTTCCCCTGGGTTTCCTAAAAAATTCTCTCATCCTTTGTGGGTAACCCTGTGTATGCATAGGGACTAGCTCATGATCCAACATTTTTACCCAACTAATCAAAGTTTACAGCTGAAGAATTTCAATTAAATTTCTTGGATCTATAGTTTCATCATCATTTATCCATCGTAACTTAGTTTAAGAGTACATCAGGGTATTTTTCTCATGAGTTTGTACAGAGGGCAATTAATAATTTTGCATTGTGAATTTCGAGATCAATCATTTATCTCTTGAATTTAAACCTTGTTACAGTGGATTTTATGATGAAAAGTGGTGTAAAAGCAAAAATTCACACAAAGATTTAACTTAGGTTAAAATAAACAACATTTTGAATTCAATATTTCGAGATCAATGATTTATCTCTTGAATTTAAATCTTGTTACAGTGGATTTTATGATGAAAAGTGGTGTAAAAGCAAAAATTCACACAAAGATTTAACTTAGGTTAAAATAAACAACATTTTAAATTCAATATTTAAATAACTCTGTCATAATCAACTATTAAATCTTCAACCGGTGGTAGAATTAAGTTGAATTCAATATTTAAATAACTCTGTCATAATCAACCATTAAATCTTCAACAGGTGGTAGAATTAAGTTGAATTCAATATTTAAATAACTCTGTCATAATCAACCATAAAATCTTCAACCGGTGGTAGAATTAAGTTGAATTTTAGAAAATTAAAATGTTTAAATTTAAAACATGGTTGGTTTATAACACATACCAGAATTTCAATTTATATATTCTAACAAAATATATTAATGGAAATAGTTTATATAGCAGCTCATCTCTAGATAAAAGTCCACCATTTTAGAAATAACTTGTCTAAAACTTTTAATCTAGAATGTTATAGTTCGACCCGTCGCCCCCCCCCCCTTGCCCTCTACAGAACTAAATAATTCAACCATGTTACGTTAATATTAGCTTCAGGACTCAAACAGATACTGCTAATTTATCTATATATACAGCAGTAAGCGATTAAATCAATAAAATGAAGATGCCTTTTTTAGTTCAGTTTTTTTTTTAAATTACAAGTTTACAAGTAATCAAAGAGAAGCTTTTTTAAATGACAGCTTTTTAAATGACTTCTTTGTTTATTTGTATTCAATCTGTTTAACAGCTTGATATAAATCAAAATTGAAATCAAAAGTCGTCTTGATTATATTGATATAATCGCCTACCACTGTATGGTCAATGGTATTAGTAAGTTTCTAAAAATCATTTCCCTGACATAAAAACTATAAAAACTGCATCCAAGAAATAAAGTTTGAAAATTTCAACTTGAATGGAAAAGATAAAATTTTAAGTTTTATTTTACTTCTGCTCTTGACATGAACTGTTCTTACTCCATATCTTTAATTCTCATAAACTGAATTTAATTAAGTAGAAAATAGGTTTTCACTTGTAATTGTAATATTATAATTCCCATATTTTTTCAACTTGATTCACATACCTTTGTTATTTACAAGTTTTAATTCTGCCAGATAAAATCCATTATAAATTATCAAAGGTTATCACAACTAGGTTCCCAAAATATATGGGTTGCTTTGCTGCAAAGGAATTGAGTCTTTGCAACAAATCCCAATTTTCATATACCTATATATCTACAACCAAATTATGTAAACCTTAGATATTTCAAACTTTGATTGTTTGATATAACAGAAGTCATAGTTTGAAATATCTAAGGTCTACAACACATTTCAAACTTTGATTGTTTGATATAACAGAAGTCATAGTTTGAAATATCTAAGGTCTACAACATTGGATTGTTAAGATATTGGGATTTAAAAACCAGGGTTTGTGGCAAAGACTCAATTCCTTTAGAGGCTGTGGAGAATGTTTAGTTAAATTATCAAAAGCTCTCTGAGTAGGTTTACTATATAAGAGAATCCCATCATATTGAAATGCTCATTACTTAAAAATAGAGTCTTAAGGATATTTCCATGAAATTTTGATTTTATCAATTATTTTTATATCCTTCTATAGTACGAGACTATAATATTCAGCTTAATCTTTGAGTGATCCTTTCCTAAAATTAAACCATTAAAGGTATCCTTTTATTTCTTATTAACAAAAGCGTCGTTTTTTTGTTCCAAGAGTCAAAAACTTGCAAAAATACACGACGCGCAAAATATTTTTAACTAGCTGGAGTGTCCGGCGTTGCCGTAGAATTAAAAAAAAATATTTGTAGAAAAAATTAATTTTTGAAAAAAAAATTATTTTTTTAATCTTAGTTACCCTTTGCGAATGGGTTTTCTCAACAAATATCAGTCCATTCGGTCCAGTCGTAAGACCAGCTTTAGCTAACATTGAAAAAACGGACATGGGCGTCGAAAATAATTTGTTAGGTTGGCTGGCTGGTCAATTTGTTGGTTGGTCGGTTGGTTGGTGGTCGGTTGTGCGATAGGTTCTTTGATCAATAGGTTCGTTAATCGGGCTCCTCAACTCGGACACAGTAGTCTCCAATAATAAGTAAACAGATATATTTTAAACCTGTAATAAAATACAGGTATAGTAAAAAATAAAATGACAATGAATTAATTCAGTTGAATATTTAATATCTTACTAGTTTTTCCTGAAAGAATTTTGACTGGCCTAAATATATAAATAAACTAAACTTAAAGTGGTGCTTTTTTTACTCAAAAACTCTCTTAAGTGATCTGTTGAACACACAATTGAAAAAAAACGTTGGTCGGGTCGGGACTATACTATACTATACTATACTATACTATACTATACTATACTATACTATACTATACTATACTATACTATACTATACTATACTATACTATACTATACCATACCATACTATACTATACTATACTATACTATACTATACTATACTATACTATACTATACTAGACTAGACTATACTATACTATAGTTGGTCGGGTCGGGACTATACTTCGGGGACATAAGTTCCTAAACTAAAACTTGGCTCATTTCATCAGAAAAACTAATTCTCACACCTTACCATTAGTTTAAAGTTGACATTTATTGTTTCATTATATATAGTTTTGGCCATCTATAAATACATGTACTTCACTTGTCTGTTTTTTTTTCAAATAAAAGTCAAAACAACTGAACCGATCCGGCCCACATTTTTTTGGTACCTTACATGACCCCAGGGAAGGTTTATGAGTGATCAAAATTTCGAAAATTTGCCTCGATTTCTAATAAATTTTTGAAAAATCCACGAACTTTTTTTTTATGAAATTCGCAAACTTTTTTAGTTTTTGTTTTTTACAATGTATACCAAGAGAAAATGCTCACAATTGAAATAGAAGATGGACGCGAAGCACCCTAAAAGCCTAGGTTTTAATTAATTTATGGTGTAGTTCTGTTCTCCTCGCGGCTTGGATTTAAAGATATAAACTCTTGAAAAAGATAACTTGAAGATTTGACCCAGTGTTATGAATGGGCCAAGTGTTAGTTTGAGAACTAATGCCCCCTCTAATGCCCCCTGTACTTTATACTCTCACTTTAAACAATTTGTTAATATAGACCATTATGAAAATATATAATATATACAATATATATACTTTACTAAATGAAGTTTTGATGATAAATTTCCTGAATACAAATAGAAGAGAGAGAGGGGAGGGATGAGAGGTGATGAATAGTACCATATATTATGTATTTTTATATTTTTAGTGAAAAAAGAAAATCTGAATGAATCCTCTAAAAATATAGAAGATATAATGCATAATATAGGGTAAGATGAAGGAAGGTCGAAATAATTGAAGCTCTATTGCTGGAGGGGTATTTACTTACTAAAATTACCTACATATTTACAGTATTTACATTTTTTTCTGATTTTATTGGTGGATTTTCAAAATCTTTTCAAATCAAATCGTTTAAATTCTGAACGAACATAGAACTACTAATACTTATTTCTATCCTTTTTTTCTTTAGGCAAAATCCACCATATTTGAAGATCAAAATCTTTAAAAATCAAATTTTTTAAATTCTGAATGAACATAGTACTATAATACTTATTTTTATACTATTTTCTTCAGTCAAAATCCCCTTCAAATTGCTATTAATGTAAACTTAAAGGGATCGTTCACTAATTTGGATAATTTCGTGGTAAACTAAATAGCTTATTATTCATTGATTAGTTAACTTTCAGAGACAACTGTGGGGCGTGGGCGGAGGAAAAGGCGTTTTTTTCAGAATTCGAGCGCAAAGGGACGGTCCCTTTGCCTATCCACTATTTGATGTTTTTTTGTCGATGTCATGGATTAAAAAAAATGTCAAATATAAAATTAAACTGTTATAGTATCTAATAGTTATTGGTAAATGTCAATTAAAAAAATGTTAACTTTCTATTTCTAATTCATAACATTTTTTTAAAGCATTGAAAATTTTGTATTACTTCTCTGTAAAATGCTGAATAGAACGCGGCATGAAAAATGAAAGGTTGCGCGCATACGGGAACGGATTATAAACATAGATAAAGATAGATTGCGCATAAGACGACATTTTTCATCTTGAAAGATATATATTAACATCGAACGCACAGTTGAATCTAAGAACCGAAATTGCGGAATGATTAATTGATCGTTGTAGAGAACGTCGTCTTTGTATATACATCTTACTACGAAAAATGTAAATCAAATATCAAAAGTTTTCGTTTTTAAGTATATAATAGCTAACTCAAAATGGCATTGAAATATGATAAATTTAAATTTTTTGGTTTGTTGTTGCTGAAAAACGTCTTATATAGTGTTTTAGACGAAGGGACCCTTTCCGCTCGAATTCTTAACACAATCTGCTTTTTCTCCGGCCACAGTTTACTTTGAAAAGTAAAACTAATACCAATTAACAGCTAATAGGCTGTTTTGTTTACCATTTAATTACCCAAATAAGTGAACGGCCCCTTTAATAAATTGATTTATTTGATGGATAGCTTAGAAATCTCTCCAGGATGGGATAAAACCTCTGATCAAGAGGAAAAGTTTATAAATAAGAGGAATGGTCTTAGAGAGAAGTTGGAGTAGGTTTAGCTCTTGATTAGTCAGAGCTGAAGATTTATAATCTTTCCACTTTAATTTATTGGATTCTTCTTTCTCAGTTGAATCAGCTACCCGGAGAAATATAAAGATAGATTCAGAGTTAGAAATTGCTCATGGTCTAATTGGTTTATCGGAGACTCTACGCCTAGATTCCTGGAAACCGATTCATCCACAAACTCTGTATTTTTTATACTTTTTTAGAAATGCAATTCTAAACTCTGCCAACAAGGAATCTTACTTCAACTCAAGTTTAATTTAAAAACTTTTAAAAGTTTCTTTGAAGCTCAAATTGTTGAACCCTAGAGGGTGTTTAAGAGAAGTTTAACCGATGCACTATGAACTAGAATAGTCACATTATGCCGGGAATACCGACCAGGATTTTACCAAATACGCTTGCAATCATGAACCTAAAGAAAAGTGGTTTACAGCTTTAAAATCGTTGTATCTAAAGCTACAGAAAAAAAAATTGAGTCTCTTCCCCAAACCCTGATTTTTTTTTATCTATTTATATTTGCAACCCAATGTCGTATCTACCTAAGATATTTTAAACTATGAATTCTGTTAAATCAAATAAGATTAGAAAAACAAGGTCTGCCCACGCTGATTAAACAGTTTGGTCCTTACACCAGCAATTTTTGACTTTCGATCCCAATTTGACATATTTTTTACTTTTTATCTTTAATACATTTTACTCGGCGGCTGAAGTTTTTTACATGAAAAAGTATAAAAAGACAACTCCTTAAGTTTTAAGATGGTTGAATTAAAGAAAGCGAATGAGTCCCTCCCTTTAAACAGTAAAATCTAAGAAACTGAACGCATCTTGTCCCGCCACAATAAGAGCTTTTAATACTTTTAAACCGCCCTTTAAGAATTTAAAATAAATTTAAGTTATTTCACTGTGTTCTCTAAACTCAGATCCCGCTGAGGATAATTAAGTTTTAATGAGAATTTATGTTAAAATAGAATAAAAAATATCTAAATGAAAAAATACTTTAAGTAGGCAATAATATGGATCAAAGTTTTGCCGGGATTTATTAGAAATTTATATTAAATAAATATTAAACTTTTAGAATATTAAGAATTTGATTTAATTTTCAATTTAGATATTTTATATTCATAAGATTAAAAGCGATACGGTACAAATTGATACATGAAACCCGACGGGAAAATTGCTACATGAATCCCGACGGGAAAATACTTTTTTTAAACCATCTCAAATAAAAAAGGAAGAAACTATTTTAAATAGTCTCAATATTAAATAGTTGCAATAAGAGTTTTCAGCGAAATGGAAAAATCATTTGCGAAAAATTCTCATTTTCGTAAACGTTTTCTGCTTCGCCGAAAATGTTCACAAAGTTTGCGAAATACGAAAGAAAAAAAAACGTAAGTGTTTACTTACTCATCTCAAAAAGAGTTGAGATCGTAACTATTGAATAGTTGAACTAGGTCATGGTTAGTTCAACTACTTCTCACGTTTCAATAATTTATTTAAATCAGAGCTGAAGAAGTTCTCGTAATTCAGAGTTTGACAAATGAGAGATGATGTTCAATTGAACGGATTTAATACTCTTGAATAAGTTAAGTCAACTAAGTTTACTTGTCTGCTCTAATCTGAACCTATTACCGTCGGAAACCCTGTTGTTCGGAAACCTTGTAGTTCGGTTTCCTTATAACTGAGCCAAAATAGATATAATCCGACTTACTACCGAACTCGCCGTAGAGGGGAGAATGTTTTAGAAAATATACTTTTTAGTAGTTCTGTTTTAGTAGTTCTGTTCTGTTTTAGTAGTTTTGTTTTGTACACAAACTGTGCGTCCCTATAGTTAGAGAAGTCTTTAGTTCACGAAGAAATTTAGTGTTTGCCACAAATTCAAATTTTCTAATCTCTTACTCTTTGCAACCTGATGATGTAAACCTTTGATTTTTTAATCTTGACAGTTTGACCTAACATGTCAAAGGTCTACGACATAGGGTTGCAGAGATTTAGAGTTTAGAAAATCAGAGTTTATTGCAAATAATTCTCAACTCCTTTTTCCCTGCATGGGAGGATTCCAACCTAGAGCCAGATTCTCAAGACGGCATTCGGTAACCTAGAGGTCCTGGGTCCAGATAGTCTTATCTTTAGAACCCATTTTCACACATAATGTAGATTTTTCGCATTTTCTTTTTGTGCTGGGTTATGTTTTTTAAAATGAGAGGTCAAAATATTCCAATATAGACAAGACACACTTCGTTGAAAGTGGTTTTACGTGAACTGTAGGTACCCCTCTTGAACTTACCATGTGGCAGAGCATCTGACGTCATAAGAAAATGAAGAGAAGCTGCTCCTCTCCCATGACCAATCACTGTAACGTTATCCTTATCTCCGCCAAAATCCTGAACAATTTAAATATTAATTTTTACTTTCATAATTTTCTATTCGTATTCACCATGGTTTCCTATTCCATGGTTTCTTACTCAATGGATTCCTACTCCATGGTATACTACTCCACGGGTTTTTACTCTATGGTTTCCTACTCCATGGTATCCTACTTTATTGTTTCCTACTCCTTGAGTTCCCATGCCATGGTTTCTTACTCTATGGTTTCCTAATAACCATGGTTTCCTACTCCATGGTTTCCTCCTTAACGGGTTTCTCCTCCACAATTTCATACTCTTTGATTTCCTACTCTATGGTTTCCTACTCCATGGTTTCCTACTCTGTGGTTTCCTACTCCATGGTTTCCTACTCCATGGTTTCCTACTCCATGGTTTCCTACTCCATGGTTTCCTACNTATTAGTAAACTTAAACAAATACAATATACATGTTCTATCCCTAGATAGGAGTAAACTTAATCAAATACAAAATATACATGTTCTATCCCTAGATAGGAGTAAACTTAATCAAATACAATATACATGTTCCATCCCTAGATAGGAGTAAACTCAAACAAATACAAAATATACAATTTCTATTCCTAGATAGGAGTAAACTTAAACAAATACAAAATATACATGTTCTATCCTTAGCTAGGAGTAAATTTTAACTAATACAAAATATACATGTTCTATCCCTAGATAGGAGTAAACTTAAACAAATACAAAATATACATTTTATATCTCTAGATAGGAGTAAACTTAAACAAATACAAAATATACATTTTCTATCCCTAGATGGGAGTAAACTTAAACAAATACAAAATATAAATGTTCTATCCCTAGATAGGAATAAACGTAAACTAATACAAAATAAATGATCTATACTATTCTAATAGAAATATATTTAAATACAGATACAAGGGATCTGACGTAAAACTTTGTGCGAAATAGCGCTGATCCTCTCCACTGCCGTGGCAACTTTTAACCCTAAACAGGCTGGGGGGGGGGGGGGGGGCGTTTTGCACCCCTTGTAGCTTTTTTGCCCTAGCACTCTCATTTTTGACACTATCACCGTGAAATTTTTACTTTTAATGAACAGAAATTTTTGCATAGGATAGGGTACAGGGCGGCAAAAAGTCCGGTCTGTGAAGACAATCTAAAATAGCACAGAACTTTTTTTTTATGACAAAAACTACAGATCTAAAACTATATTTTTTAAAAGCCCTCGAAAAATGAATGTAAGAAACATGTGCCACACTTTTGTTTAAAAAAAAAAAATATTTTCTTCATTTTTCATACCTTTTTCTCAACCCTCCCTAGCACCCAAACTATGAAAGTTATCGATCTATTTTTTTTCAATGAGCTGGCCTTAAAAAAAATGAACATGCATTTCAACCCTATACCTATTCTCTAGGGCCTTTTACTTGGGGGGTGGGCCGTGGGACGCCCTCCCCCCCCCAAGTCTGTACATATATTCAGACCCCCCAGCCTTTACAGGGTTAAATTAAAGGGATTGATGCTTTATTCCTCAGTATTAGTTTTCCTCCAACTACAGGGTATCCAAAAGAACTAGTTATGTCCTGAGGATGACAAAAGATACTGCTTGATCCATGGAATAACATCGAAAAAGTTCACTCCTCAAGTTTTCTTTTACGAAAATATAAAATTCTCTAAAAATCTAAGATTTTCAATAAAAAGAATCTTTAATCCTCATAATTCTAAATTTTGGATTGCAAAATTTGAATTATCTTTTGCTTCCAGGAAATTAAAATGCATTCGATGCATCCAATGCATTAATGTAGGACTTTTCCTTTCTCATTACTGGATGACTAGTACTGACCTCTTTATTTGTATACATATATGACTAGTACTGACCTCTATATTTGTATACGTAAATGACTAGTACTGACCTCTTTATTTGTGAAAATAAATGACTAGTACGGACCTCTTTATTTGTATAAATAAATGACTAGTATACTGACCTCTTTATTTGTTTGTGACAAAACTGACCAATCTATTTGTATACATGACTAGGACTGACCTCTATATTGTAAATATCACAACTACTGACCTTCTATTGTAAATATGAAAAATACTGACTTCTTTATTGTAAATATGAAAACTACTGACTTCTATATTGTAAATATGACAACTACTGACTTCTATATTGTAAATTTGACAACTACTGACCTCTATATTGTAAATATGACAACTTCTGACCTCTATATTGTAAATATGAAACTACTGACTTCTATATTGTAAATATGACAACTACTGACTTCTTTATTGTAAATATGAAAACTACTGACCTCTATATTGTAAATATGACAACTACTGACCTCTATATTGTAAATATGACAACTACTGATCTCTATATTGTAAATATGAAAACTACTGACTTCTATATTGTAAATATGACAACTACTGACCTCTATATTGTAAATATGACAACTACTGACCCCTATATTGTAAATATGACAACTACTGACCGCTATATTGTAAATATGACAACTACTGACCTCTATATTGTATATATAACAACTACTGACCTCTATATTCTCTTGAATCCAATGCATTGCCGCTATCTGATCAAGTATTCCTAAATTACTTGGAACACCAGTTGTAGATCCACCATTTTTCATACTGTTCACGTTTAGAAATCCTAAAAAAATTAAATGTTTAAACATTTTCTCATGGAAAAGGAACTAATATATGGAATCCGTTCCAAAATTCAGTTTTATATAAATAGATATTCTTTCAACGATCTACTGCATTCAATAGATTAATATCAAGGGAAATGTAACCTAAATTGTGCACTAGCAAGAAGTGCAGTTTGTATCAAAGTTTGATTTATAAATCCGAATATCTAACCAAGGAATCCATTTTGTATTCCGGACGGATACAGTGGCTCATGTACCATTAGATTCTCCATTATAAGTTTACAGTCCCACGTGTATAATAGTTTAAACCAGTGCATCGGATACCTAAACTTGTAATCATACTTTACCTTCTTTTCTACTTCATCTACTTTCCTCTTTCGTTCTCCTTTTCTTTTCTACCCCTTCTTAAACTTTACTTTAGCCTTATCCTGCCTTCTTTTTGTTCACACTTTTTCTTTTTTTTCTTTTCATTTTCTCTTAGTCTTCGTCTTTTATTTTATTAGTTTTCTACTTAACCCACCTTTTTCGTTTCTTTGTTTATTCTTTTCCTTTTTCTTTCTTTTTGATATTTCTTAGTTTTATTTGCATACTTTTCTTCTTAACCTACCTTTATCCGTCCTTTCTCTTTCTTTTCTTCTCCTACCTTTATCCGTCCTTTCTCTTTCTTTTCTTCTCCTACCTTTATCCGTCCTTTCTCTTTCGTTTCCTTTCTCCTTTAAACTCTGTATTTGTGTATTAAAGTCTAAGAATAGGGTTTTCAGCGGAAGCAAATTTTCTCGAAAATTTGCATCCTTTTCCTGCAAACTTTTGCGCGGAATTCTGCATTATTACGAGAAAATGAATTTTGCGGAAGCAAGAGAAAAACGTTGCGCAAAATAAAATCTGCAAACACTGCCGAGAACTGCGCCAAAAATAAACACCAAATTTTTTTAGTTTCGAATTTTTATTGCATTTATTTATTAAAAAGAAGTCCTGCAAAATGTTTTTAATGGCTTTCTAAAGTCGGACTGGTTCCATTTTCATTCCCTTTCTCCGTATTCCCTGAATAGCCCTGGTTTGTTTAGTACTCCTAGTACTCCTAGTAAACTATTTGAACCCAGGAGACTGTTTGTCAGGATAACAGTTGACCAAGATAAGTAAAAACAACCTTTGTCTAGAATAAAGTTTATATATATAAATATAAAGATGTAATGTCTGTTTTCTGTCTGTTTGTTTGTCAGATCATAACTCAGGAACCCCGAGACCGATTTTCCTCAAAATTTTATTTGAAGGCCCGCGGAAATGTTCTTAACTCGGTTTTAAAATTCTAAGTTGAGTGGGTCGACATTGATAGAGATATAATCGTTCAAGTGCTGGTAAACGGCGGAAGTAATTTTTGTAAACCTTGGCAGCGCTAGGTTTCCTAGTTAGTAATATATTTAAATATTTATATACTAGTCCCAGCAGAACAACACTGAAAGAAAAATCATTTCAAAAATGTAAATAACTAGCTGAAAAAATGTGGAAGAAAATTTTAAGAAAAAAATGTGGAAACAAATTTCGATTTAGCCTATTAAACGGGGGGACCACCCATGAGTGGACACAACAAATTTCAGTCCAATCGGTCCAGTCGTTTGGCCGGCTATACGCAACATATATATATATACAAACGTCTTGTTTTATTATATAGATAATTGTTTAATTGTATTATTAATTGTGGCCTGAATAGTAAAGATGGGAAAGCCCGATTTACAACGGTACCCTTTAATCCTTGGACTGACCATCAACGATCATCAACTTTGTGTGTTAATCTCTAAAATGATGTAGTTAGGAACTGAGTCTTAATCACAAATTCAAATGTTCTAACCACAATATCTGTGTTATCTGATGGCGTAAAACTTTGATATTTCAAACTTAGATTATTTAATCTAAAATAATTCAAACTTTGAATGTTTGGTATGTGGCATACAGTATGACTGAACACACTTGAAGTTTCATATATCTCGAAAATCCTGATCATTTATTTCGACAATTTCTAATCACAAATTCTAATTATCGTATGATTGATTGTGAAACTTTGAGTTTGTGACAAAAGTAATAACAAAACAAAAACAAAAAAAACAAGAAAAAACAGAAACAAAACAAAATTAAAACAATCAACAAAAACAAAAAAAAATTAATTTTCTAAATTATAAAACAAAAACAGGTTTATAATAGGGTTTCTGGAAAAATAATTCAAAGGTTTACAAGGTACTGTTGTGAATCAGTCAGACCACTCTATAAGAGAAAGTTTACTCGAAATTTCGTTCACAGTCCCTTTAAACAAAGTATTATTATAATATTAGAAATATTAGCCGCTTATATATAAATATTGTAGTTATTTGGTTTTTTTTTCTGGCCTGTAGGCCGACTTACCGGAAAGGTTTGATTAATGAATGAATGAATCGTGCTTGTATGAATAAATGCTCTGAAGATTGATTGTGTTCTAATTTGATCTAAAACTGTTCTTCGGACACTAACTACTGACATCCATATATCCAGATATTACACTAGACTCTTATATAGTATATACAGATATACACTGTACAGTATACAATACAGTATACCTGGTATATAATACAGATATACACTGTACAGTATACAATACAGTATACCTGGTATATATACAGATATACACTGTACAGTATACAATACAGTATACATGGTATATAATACAGATATACATGGAATTGACTTGCATTGCCCATGGAATTTTAGAAAGAAAATTTTTGAAAGAAAATTTCGAATATTGTAAAGAAAAGCGATCTGTGAAAAATATAAAATTTGAATTTTTACCCAAGGGTACCTTTAAAATAATTTAGCCGATTTGGTTCAGCTGTTTGGCCAGCTGTAGCCAACAAATATATTAATACATACACAAATACATATATATCCATAGACACAGTGTTTAGTCCTATTAGGACTCATCAGTATGGCTCTAATCATCAGATTTTGATTTTGCAGTTGACGGGGATTGAACCATGACTCCTTAGATTATGAATCAAACACGCTAACCACTGCTCCACCAAACCCTGATGAATGGGCGAAGAGGAAATATAAGAATAAAGAAAAAAAATCGGAGGAAAACTAGGAGGAAAGGAAAACCTGGAGAAAGAAGAAAAATGCAGCAAGAAATATTTGGAGCTAGGACAAAACTTGATCATGAATGGGAAACTAAAGGTAGAAAGGAAAACTAGGATTGAAAGGAACAAGGAGTAAAATGGAAAACTAAAGATAGAAAGGAAAACTAGGATTGAAAGGAACAAGGGATAGAATGGAAAACTAAAATTAGAAAGGAAAACTAGGATTGAAAGGAACAAGAGGTAGAAAGGAAAACTAGGATTGAAAGGAACAAGGGGTAGAAAGGAAAACTAGGATTGAAAGGAACAAGGAGTAGAAAGGAAAACTAAGGGTTGGAAGAAAAGCTAAGTGTAGAAGAAAAACGATTAAAAAGGCAAATTATAGGTAGAGAGGAAAAATAAGGGTAGAAAGGAAAACTATGGGTAGAAAGAAAAACTAAGGTAAGAAAGGAAAACTAAAAGAAGAAAGGAAAATTAGGAAAAGGAAGGAAAACTAGGAGTAAAAAAAATAGAGGTAAAAACAAAAACTAAGGGAAGAAAGTAAAATTAGGAGTAGAAAAAATAGAGGTAAAAAGGAAAACTAAGGGAAGAAAGGAAAAACTAGGATTCTTGTGGGAGATTGTATAAGAAAAACAAACACTAGTAATAGAGTCATCTGTCTCCGTCTAAAGCATAATGCAACCAAACCATTTGTGCGGGCAGCCGTGACAATTCCCGTAGGAGACACAGCTAGGAGAGACTTAAAACAATCTCAGGGTTATTATTTAGTAAATATACCTTGATAAACAATCTCAGGGTTATTATTTGGTAAATATACCTTGATATACAATCCTAGGGTTATTATTTGGTAAATATACCTTGATAAACAATCCTAGGTTTATTATTTGGTAAATATACCTAAATAACCAATCTCGGGGTTATTATTTAGTAAATATACCTTGATAAACAATCCTAGAGTTATTATTTGGTAAATATACCTTTATAACCAATCTCAGAGTTATTATTTGGTAAATATACCTTGATAAACAATCTCAGGGTTATTATTTGGTAAATATACCTTGATAAACAATCTCAGGGTTATTATTTGGTAAATATACCTTGATAAACAATCCTAGGTTTATTATTTGGTAAATATACCTTAATAAACAATCCTAGGTTTAATAATTGTTAAATAAACCTTGATAAACAATCTCAGGTTTATTATTTGGTAAATATACCTTAATAAACAATCTCGGGTTTATTTTTTGGTAAATATACCTTGATTAACAATCTCAGGGTTATTATTTGGCAAATATATAGATAGATATAGTTTGTATGATCTGATACTAGATATAGTTGATCTGATACTAGATATAGTTTGTATGATCTGATACTAGATATAGTTGATCTGATACTAGATACATAGTTGATCTGATACTAAATATAGTTGATTGATCTGATACTAGATATAGTTTGTATGATCTGATACTAGATATAGTTTGTATGATATGATACTTGATATAGTTGATCTGATACTAGATATAGTTTGTATGATCTGATACTAGATACATAGTTGATCTGATACTAGATATAGTTTGTATGATATTATACTTGATATAGTTGATCTGATACTAGATATATAGTTGATCTGATACTAGATATAGTTGATCTGATACTAGATACATAGTTGATCTGATACTAAATATAGTTGATCTTATCTGATACTAGATATAGTTTGTATGATCTGATACTAGATATAGTTGATCTGATACTAGATATAGTTTGTATGGTCTGATACTAGATATAGTTTGTATGATCTGATACTAGATATAATTTGTATGATCTGATACTAGCTATAGTTTGTATGATCTTAGACTAGCTATAGTTTGAATAATCTGATACAAGATATATAGTTGATCTGATAC